CCCTATGGAAAGTGGAAGCTAAACAGTGATAATATAGCCCTCAGTGAAAGAGGGGAAATTAACCATGGTTTAACTTCCACTTACTCTGGAGCAAGAGTGCACACAAGTGGTTATAGTGGAGAACATGACCTATAGTAAAGACCTGCTTCCTTTTACCCCCAAGTAAATTGCCGTGTGATCATATCTTTAGACTGCTTCAACTCAAAGTAGTATAATTATCAAAATTACTTTTTAAAACAATGCAAAACTTCAAAATGCAATAGTATAAATAAAAGGAGATGGTCCATAATCTGTAGCATCTCCCAAGGAAGAGTTCAATGAGCCCCTCATTAAGAAAATATTGAGTATACACCAATAAGAGGAATAAATACTATTACAACATTTACATAAAATATTTCACTTTACTGGTAAAATCTTCTGCAGATCAGGAACTCTGTTTTGTTTTTTAAACATATTACCAGATTTACTTAAAGTGTTTTCTTCATAATTTATCACAGCAGCTTCTGAGGAGCCATAAGACTCCAATACCGTGGCAAATCTCATTTAGCAACATAATGACTATAATTACAGTATTCAGAAAAATGTTAACATAGAAACAAATACCAAAATAAACTACATTAAACGTAATATTAAGGACTTGAGCTAACCCCATAAAATTCCTACAAGTTGACAAAGAAACAGCTGGAGGATGGAAATTTTGCCTTAAAATTAATCTTTTTTGGAAGGTTTTTGGCAGCATTTTTAATTTTAGACAGTATTTTGTGGTTTAGTATACTTATATAATACTACTTTTTAATTCTGTGGAACAAACCTAAAAAAAAGCCTTTTTTAAATAGCCTAAACCAGTGGTACTCAACCTTTAACAGCTGGAGAGCCACTTCTTTATTTAGATGATATCGTAGCGCACTTAAATTCAAGTACCAACATTGTGATCAACATGATGTTACCTCAATGTGTAATGATGCTGCATCATCAACCATCATCACATATTGACACATCATGATATGACATCATCAACCCCTCTCCCAACAGCACTCTCTCTCTTCATCCCCCTCCTAGCTGCTGGGAAGAAGGGGCTGGGGGAGGGCATGTTTTTTCCCATTCTGCCCCCCAGCTGCTGGGTGGGAGGTGATCTCTACTCTTACCTGTGGGGGGGGGTCCCAGCAGCTCCTTTTCTTCCCCCCTATGGAAGGGGGGGAACTTCAGCGACTCCCACACTGCTGGTCCATTTGCTCAGTGCTCCCCGCGCTGCCTGATAGAGTGGAGCGCCGATCAGATGCCTACATTGCGAGAGCCGCCTGTAGGGCCATGAAGAGCCACATCCGGCTCTAGAGCCACAGGTTGAGTATCACTGGTCTAAACAAAGCCAAAAAGGTACAATACAATAAGGGCCCCTGTTTAGATCCTAAAAGGATCAGATAAAACCACAAAAATAACCCTCAAGCAAAATATTAAACATACTGTCTTGATTTAACATTTTCTATTTGCAGCTACCAGCAATTTGAATAGGAGACTATTGTAAGTTTTCCTCTTTACACTTTTAGAACCTGCAGGGGCTTGTCCTGAAGTGCACAAACATAGGTAACTGCATACCTTCATCATATCTGTGGTTTATAGCCCCTGCAATGGTTCACATGAAGATGTAAGCAGGAAAACTATCTAGGCTTAATAAGGCCAATCACCCAACAGTCACAAGAGGAATTAAATGAGCTAACATAATATTATGTTTGACCATACTGCTTATTAATCACTAATTATTAGCAAATAAATATTTTCATAAAATGCTCTAAGGAAAAAAAAGAAAAGATATAAGAACCTTGGCTTGAGATTGTTCTGTCTTTATCAATCACTATAGCACCAGTGATTTCTTTTTTATCAGTATTTGGCAGTGCTGTGTCAGATGAGATGCAGTAGAATAAAGCACAGATAGGATCAAATTCAGGATCTGGCTCCAAGTCCCGTCTAGGTCGAGCATGTAACTCCATACTGATGAGTGTAAGGTTTTGGACCTACATAAAAAACAGGTAAAAATATGGTTTGGGTATGTCCTCAAATAACTTTTAAAAAGCTATTTATAATTAATTAACTTGTATTAACAACAAGGGCCTCTTATAAGTATATAAACTGCTGGCATATCACAGGTAAATATCAACAAAACTTACTAATACTGTATTTTGGGATGTCACACGTTTACAAAAATATTAATTTAATTGGGCAAGGTTATCAGAGACCTACTATATTTTTTAATTGCACTCATTTGAAATGATTAATATTGAAGGTTTATTCTCTGTTCAGGTATTATTCCTTGCTCTAGGACAGGGATAGGCAATGTTTTTTGGCCAGAGTGCCGAAAAAACCACAATGTCCATCTTGGAAGGTGCTGCAGTGCCGACATGCCAGAGCCCAGAGTAGCTGTTTGCAGCCTCCCAGCTGCAGTCGGGCCCCGGGGCCCGGTCTGCTTGCAGCAAGGCTTGTGGG